CTCTACCCACTGAGCTAACCGGGAACCCTCGGTCTGTATTTCTTGCCTGAGCGTCAGCGTCCAGAGTTACGATCAGCTGATGAACCTCTGAGTGAACAGCTGTAATGTCGGCAGAATGGTGGTGGGACTGTTGGGATTGTTTGTTGTGTCCACTGCTCATTGGTCTGTTGATGGACTCATGAAAGTTGTCCCCTCCAAGGCGACAGCATTTCTGGCCCCTGTCCTTGGCAGCGACATCAGTTGATGAACTCGGCGGACAAGGTGTGGGTGCAGCGGGCAGAGCGTACCTTCAGCTCATGGTAGCACTGGACAAAGCTGTGGTAGATGAAGGTAATGGGCAGTGCCAGTAGCACGATGCCGCTCACTACACAGAGGCCACCCAGCACGCGGCCCGCCACTGTCACTGGATACATGTCTCCGTACCCCACTGTTGTCATGGAGATGATGACCCACCAGCAGGCAGCGGGGATGCTGGCATAGTCCTGGTTTCCGGCCTCCAGGTCCAGGCCATGCTCCAGCAGCTGGGCCAGCGCACTGAAGATCGCCATAGCAACGCAGATAAAGATCAGTAGCATCATCATCTCGCGGTAGCAGCGTCGTAGCGTCAGGCCCAGCGTCTGCAGACCGAGGAAGTGACGCGCCAGCTTAATCACCCAGAAGATTCGCATAATGCGCAGGACGCGCAGTGTGACGCCAGCCCGCTGCAGCTGCGAGTTCTCCCCCGTCAGGATCGTCATGGTAACGGAGACGTAGTATGGCGTAATGGCCAGCAGGTCGATGATGTTCAGAGGACGACAGACAAACTCACATTTATCCCGAGACACAAGGAAACGGACGATACACTCTGCTGTGAACCAACCGATACACACCGCCTCAATGATCCTGCAGCAGGGATCAATCAGAGAGAGACAGAATCAGAGTTATGGATGAACAAGATGGTCCAATCAAAGGTGATCCATGTTGTGCCTATTTAATTTTAAGTTAGACATGAACAATGTATATTATCACAGTCTGAATCAAATGTTACCAATGAGCACATATTGAAACATATAACCAGAGTATATATAAGTATATACATATATATGTATGTATGCACCACAGTCTATGTCTTCAGGTGGTCTCAGCGTCCTACCTGTGCTGGTCCAGGGTCTCGGCAGTCTTCCAGTCCGGTAAGGTGCTGGCACACAGCATCACCATGGAGATGACCACAAACAGTACTGACACTGAGGCAAGGATCTGTGCCGCAAGCGAAGACGTGGGCTCCTCGAACGTCCTCCTCATCCTCTCTAGCCAGCGGCTCTGGGGCTCCTTGTGGCCCCGTGGCTCCTCTTCAGGGAAGAAGTGGACGAAGCAGTCGGACATGCGGTCATCGAGGCGTCGCTGGCAGCACGGTTGCAGGTCGGCACTCTCCAGGCCCCAGTACAGCATCTCGTTATAGAAAGACAACTCGCACATGTGCGGCACAAAACGCAGCTTCCCATGCTGCACATACAGCATTATGAAGCTGAAGGCCT